CTCCACTTATATATTTGAGTTTATTATAGATATGATAAGGTAGTAGTTGGAAGATGTTTTCTTGTTCATGTACCACTTTAACGCGAATAGTGCCTGTGTTCAATGATTTCTGATGAAACCATGAAAAATACGAAAAACCGATGGAGGTGGTTGGTGTTAGATAGTTCGTTTGAAAGGGCTCCACGGAGCATTCGACATCTCTTCTAGTTCTGGGAAAAGGATCTGACTGTTTTTCTTTGACAGGGTTGTCAAGAGTGCAGGGAGTAGTGGTCACATCCTCAATCTTGGCCACGGTGTGCTCGTGGGTACGCCTGAAGAAGCCGTAGCTCACTTCTTTGATGTTGCTAAGAGTTTCGATTTTGACAAGGTTGAAGATCATGTATCTGAGGCAGATAAAGTTGTAGCTTGAAGACAACAATTTTGTAATGCAGGCTGGAAGCCTAGGATGCTTGGTTTCACCTTAGGTCCTTTGAGTTGGTTGAGGAGACTAATGCTTGTGAATAAACTAGCATCTTTATTTTATCTTCTTTTTTTCGAAATATCGAGCAAATTTGTTATATTATTAGTTATTCTATCAGAAGGGAAGTTATCTCTGTGTGACATGTAAGTCACGGATTCAAGTTATAGAATCAATCACTTTGTGTCAAATCGACTACATGCATTACATCCTCTTAGGGTGTAACTCTTTCCTGGACCTTATGTAAACGCGGGATGCTTTGTACAGTGTGTTGGGCTCGTTATCAGTTTTTCTATCAATTTTTTTTTCTAGATTCTTTGTTAGGATAAGGAAATGGGACCCAACACCACCTAAAACTTCTTTCATTGTCTAGGATATATTCTTGCGCGAAATTATTAAAAATTTAATCGAATTCATAATTTCAATGATAAATCCGCCCGACCCCACTCTCATCAATGTTAATTTTTTTCTTTAGACAAAAATTGATACCCCAAAGTCTCATCCCCACCCAATAAATTCTGGTTCAAACTCCAACATCCACCATTGCAAACATGACTCAGCAAAATCCCCTGCATATGTTTGACCAAATATAAAAAAGAGAAAGCTTACCCAATTTATCGGTAAGAGTTCATCGCATCAGATTTGCCTAGTGTAATTTTGATTTGCTATAGGATTAGTGATTGAATATACATTTCGAAAAATAGCAATTGTGAATTTTCTCGACAATTCTTATAAGAGAAAACATGATAAACAAAAATGTATCAATAAAAAGTCAAGAAAACAGGATGATTTACGTTTGATACTATAGTTATATCTCTACGATAACATTTCACTATAATAATCGAATTTTTATCGAATAAAGAGAAACACCTTGTAATAATTCTGAATAAACATGGACAACCTTTTGAAAAAGTTAAAGGAGTATGTTGTTTATTTTAGGTTGATTTGAATTTAAGGTGGCAAAAGAAACATAGTACTATGTCAATTAGAAACAAGACAAAAAGGGTGACTAAGGTTTGGCAAATCTCTTCAAAAAGTTTAAAAAATGATGACAAAGGAAAATTTTATTTATGGACACATTCATGATAAAAATTATTTCACATAAATTCTCAGCTCAAAAACCAAACTTAACTTTTATTATAATTAATCTAGTTTTAATTATTTTAGTTTTTTTTTGGATAATGCACAAGTACCCCCTCAATCTATGCTCGAAATCTCAGAGATATACTTATACTATACTAAGGTTCTATTACCCCCTGAACTTATTTTATTAATAATTTTTTACCCCTTTTTTGGTCTACGTGGCACTATTTTGTGAGCCCAGATTGGTTGACTTTTTTTTTCAAACTAGTACCACGTATGCTAAAAAAGGGGTAGAAAATTACTTATAAAATAAGTTCTGGGGGTAACAGGATCTTATTATAGGATTTTAGTATAGTATAAGTGTATCTCTGAAATTTCAGATATAGGTTGAGGAGTACTTGCGCATTTTTTTTATAAAAAAAAAGAAGGGAGGGAGAGAGAATAGTCATCAATGAGAATTTGGAAAAAAAAATCACAAATCCTTCTTCCTATTTAATTCTCGGGGGACCACTTAGAAAGAAAGTTTAATTTAAGACTTAAAACCAAGAAAAATTCACCTTAAAATAGGATTGGTAATTAGTAAAATGGAGACTAATTACAATTTTGGTCAATGTCCATATCAGTGAAAAGTTGAAAGATTTGTGTAAAGTTGGAAAAAAATAATAGGGCCTCTTATAATTTTTTTAAATATATTCTCTAGATATGGTATCTCTTGCTTCTTTTTTTTTTGTTTGATTGATATTTTACAAGGCAAAGATCCTTTTTTTTCTCAATATGTTTATTTGGTATTATTGTTCTTTCCTATTCACTTTATTACTATATGTTTATTTAACAAAACTAATTTGTACATAATCTTAATATTGTTTGTTTAAGAATTAATTAATTAATAACCAGGGGTACTTCCATGAGAATATTTTTTATAACCTATTTTTAATCACCTTCTTCAACAAAGTTAAAATGTCTTAACGATTCATCGGAACAAGTTTTTTGTTGAAAAGAAAAAAATATTTTTCTCATAAAATATTTAATTTATTCGATTTTTGTAATTTTATGCATAGAAAGTATAAAAGTTATTTACACTTAAAAAATGATTGCATATAATTCTATAAAAAAATTGATCGATAATCTAGAATAAATGATAGATAATCAGTCAAATACAAAATGAGATTCACTTTATGATTATTTCCCACTTACTATATTTCTCTATTATTTAAATTCATCTTATACTAATATTATACAAAATTAAAGTAATAAATATAGTTCTTTATATATAGATTGACATAAAATTAAATTTTCTAATAGGAGGATTAAGACATCCTAGAAAGCAAAAGACCTAAAATAAATGTATGTAATAACATGAGCAAAGCATATTCCCAACCACTTGGTACTTTCTCCATTGACGAGGAGTTGATCAGATGGTAAGTAGCAAGTACATATTAATCATCTCTAAGTTTAAGATCGTAAATTTGAATCACCAAAAAAGTAAAAATGTGAGCTTTTAATTATCATATTTTTTTTTTAAGAATCAAACTATATAAAGTTCAATCGATATATTGAGATGTATTTTTTTTAGATAAATTGTGACTTATATCGTACTTCTCATTTAGTTTGGATTTTTAAAAAATAATTCAATATTAACTAATTTTATCCAATTTATCACCAAAAATTAATCAAATAGACTTATGAGAATCAAAATATGACAAATATTTTGAGACGCAGAATGTCAGAAGGTATCACCTTTTATAAATCTTTTTTCTTTCATCATATTATACTTTTTAGTTAAATTTGTATTAGGTATTTTAAGATAAACTGCAACTGTATCTCTTATCTTAAATTAATGATTTTCTCTTAAAAAAAAAACAAAAGAACATTATTATGATCTTTCAAATCAAGAATAACCACAATAATATGTCTATTCAATAAGCAAAAGGACACTATATGGTATATACATGTATAGAATGAATTTGAATTTTCTTTTTCTATTCATAGCTAGAGATTTATGGTGATAGTTCTTACCCTAAATATTGAGGTTTGCTTAATAAAGAAGTTTATTTATGAAGTGGGCCCTAGATAACTTCACATATTATTTCAACTTATTGCTAATCACATCAAATGTATATAACTTTCATATGTCAATAAAGGTGTGAAGAAAAATAACAACATCCTTCGTTAGTTAGTTGTTATTAGAACATGAGATAATATTTTATCGAAGGTTGAGTTTTTTCGTATTTAATCAAAGATTTCAAATCAAGTTTAATCATTACATAAAATTTTCTGATGCGAATTTAAATTGATTGGAGCAATATATATGGTATAATAGGATGGAAGCAAGAGGAAAATGGAGGGTGGTGGATGATATGTTGATGTAAATATAAAATTAATAAATGTGTTATTTCCTTTCTTTGACGGTTTAAACTTTTAGACTGATAAAACGATCATATCATGACGTGGAATGAGGAAGGTCGTTTTGACTCAAACCTTGAACCTAAACTTGATTTCTAGGTTGAAGTATTTCTTTGCAAAATACATGGTATACATAAATATATGAGGGATCATCATCAGCAAAAGTAGATTTTAATTTAACAAGATTATTTTAATTCTCTTAACACTCTTGAAATTTTGAATCCTGGCTAGCAATAATAATTCAAATAAATAACATCTATACACCAATAATATTAAAGAATTTTATAATATTGTGAAAACAACTACATTTTATAATAACTTGGAATATTTTACAAAAAGGGAAGTGATTAATTATTTCTTGTTCTTGAACATCTTCCAAAGGAATTCATATTATGTTGTTTGACATTTATGATAGAAAACTCGGTTTACTAAGCTTTGATTATACGCGGTGTTTAAAAAAGAGTCAAATGACAAGGATCTATTATACTCATGTACAGTCTGATTTTACTTTTTTACAAGAGGCTATTTTCATATGAATTCAAACTCGTGACCTCTTGATCGTATGACAACAACTAATTTATCAGTTACGATCAAAATATTACTTCCTCATACTATGATAGACTCTATTTTTATTTTCTATATACACAAGAATTATACTATATAGCTACGTGACCTTAATTTAATCTTCTAAATTATGCTCAATGGCACCAACTAATTAATAGTAGAATCCCAAATGATATCACAATTTTTTTTTTATAAAATAAAAAGCACAAGGATATACATTTCTAGAGAGAGGATTATCATAAATAAAAAATTGATAGTGCCCAAAATAAGAATCCATTTTTTCTCTTATTTTTAATAATATATATTCTTACTGATCAGCCAATTTTTCATAACTTAAAACTAAGAACAAGCTATGTAATTTAGGGTTTTCAAACTCTAGTTTTAGCTAGGGTTTTATTGAGTAAATTCGATTCGAGTCTAACAATTTTTAGCACGAATACGAACAGTAAAAGCATAGCCAAAAGATAATAAAAAAACATTCAGAGTTCAGATAAAATTCCAAATCGAGCTCATTAAATAAAATTTTTGCCCATATAATAATCCGCAATATCTACAACAACAATATTCCAATAATTCAAGCATCATAGAAAAATTAAAACACCATAATTCAAAAGTATTTAATTATATGTATAGTAAGTACTATATTAATTAATTAACACATAACAAAACAAATACTTTTATTAATTATAATTAAAAACTCAAAATTTTACCCTTTCTCTTTTATCGTCGATCTCGATGAAATTGATATTCCAATCTTTATTCCATAGCAATCAAGTAGTAGATTGTAGCTGAAAATTTGCAGAAGTAGCCCCATCATTGTTGTTACTAGCCTTAATTTGCAAATTTGGCCTCTTTTTCTTCTTTTTTTTCTTATATGGAATTCCTCTTGCTTTTGCTTGTGAATCTCTCACTTCTCTTAAATAGACACGTATAGCGCCACTTGCAAAAGGGTTAGTTTCTTGCAAACCACCATTTTCTTCATAGGCTGCCCTAAGTCTACCAATTAGGGCATCTAGGCTTCCCCATGCTTGTCTTAATGGACACGTGCACGGACCAGGCGGTTCGGGTTGCCCGAAAAATAGGCAACCATGTAAGTGAACCTTAGTCTTTCCGAATTGATCGAGGTATCGGAGAAAATCTAACACGTGATTGTAGTTACACTGAGGTAACGATATAGGCGGTCGTTGATTTTTTAAGTACTGGCCGAACGTGTTCCAGTCGCGACGTTTCTGCGACTCGTATCGACTTAACTGCGGTGCTGATGATGATGCTGGTGTTGGTGCTAGTGTTGATAACGATGATGATGATGACTGACGATGATGATTGTTAAGAGGGGTTGCTATAATACTAATAGCACCACCACTTGATGATGATCCTTCTCCTACTTCTCTTATTTTCTCACTTGACATCATAGTTTGATGTAGTAATATAAACACTAGGTGAAATGAAACTTCTTTTTTTTTTGTGAATTTTTTTGATCTATAAAAATGTTATAAATGAAGAGATGAGAGAAGAAGAAGTGTGTATAGTGGAGAAAAAAATTTGGAAATAAATCAAATTAATCATGGGGGCACTAAGGAGACATGATATGGGGTCCAAATGGAAGTGCTTTAATTCATCTTTTCTTCTTTCACTATATTGATTTTTTATTTATTTTTCTTTAATTGTACCATTAGCAATAAGATTGGCTTTTTGAAAAAATTTCCTTATTTTTTTAAATATAAATTGTGCTAGAGCATCATACATGCAATCATTATCAAGAATATTATAGTAAAATCAAGCACTTTAATTAACCCTATAGTTACAAGCTATGGTCTATAGTAAATTGTATTTAAACTATAGTAAAGTGTATGCAAAATTTATCATGAAATGTATAGGAATTTGGCTAATTTACTAATTTGTATGAATACATAACAATTTTACATCGATTCATATGTGGTTAATATATAGAAGTTAAACATTTTCTCTCTATATATATGTAAATCCTATGTGTTTTTGAAAAAATGACTGAATTTTATTTGACATCCACTATACTGCATTTTTTTAAAATTTGAAAATTATAAATTTAAAATTCTGAATCAGTTTAGGCGATAATGATTTACGAAAAAAATAAAAAATACAAGCACTTATCTCAATACAAGAATATTTTTAGAAAAAAATCCAACTTATGAGTTGTCTAATTAGTCATTATATTTAGAAGTTGAAAACTAAGAATTAAGATACCAAAAAAACCCTCATTAGTAACTTATTTACAGAATCGGAGTCGAGATTTAAAGCTTACGTATTTTGAATTTTTATAGTATTTTTTTTAAATTACTACATTTTAAGTTAATAATATCTACACATGTCATGAATTTTTATGAAAAAAATACAAAATTTAAAATAATAATATTATATTCAGTTAAATCCGTAACGAATACTCTAATTCCGCTAATTAACTTTTTTAATCAGACAAATAAGAGTCTGTTACGCTAGGAAAATCATCATTTTCTAGTATTTAAGAAAGAGACAACCATGAAAGGTGTATTTGTAAATTGTAAATAGTGATGGCTACTTCTATTTTTTTATTATGTAAGATATGGTCCCATTTAATTATTTTTCTATCAAAAATTTTCTAACTACTATTATTATTGATTTTCCTGTAGATTTACCCACCATTTCGTTTTAAAATAAGATTAGTTTAATTAAAAAAACTATTTAAAAAACTATCGAGCAGGAGTAATAATATAATAAGTAAATACATAATTTTAGTATGATCAAACAACGATAGAGAGACGTATCGGGAAAAAAAAGGAAGAAGCAAAAAATATGATTAGTTTGTTCTTCACCTATATTCTTGTATTATTTGTTGATAATGTTTAAATTTTCGAGAAGTATTTATTAAAGAAGGGATAACGCACAAGTACCCCCTCAACCTATGCTTGAAATCTCAGAGACACACTTATAATATACTAAGGTCCTATTACCCCTGAACTTATTTTTTAAATAATTTTCTTCTCTTTTTCGGCCTACGTGGTACTATCTTGTGGATCCAATGATGGTTGACTTTTTTTTTTCAAACTAGTGTCACGTAGGCTGAAAGGGGGTAGAAAACTACTTATAAAATAAGTTCAGGGGGTTAATAGGACCTAATTATAGTATAAGTGTATCTCTAGAATTTTGGACATAGGTTGAGGGGGTACTTGGGCATTATCCCATTAAAGAAAATAATTTAGTTAAGTGCACATTATATTTATTATTTTTTTAATGGATATGATTTTTGTTAAAATAACAATTATTTTGGTGGAAAAAGAAAATATACATTAAAAAGAAAAGGAAGTAATTAGGGATTTTATAAAAATCGCATTAGAGTTTAATTTATATATAATGTAAAAATTTTATAATATTGGACCATTTAAAAGGTATTATTTATAGATATAACTAAGTCATTGTAAAAGTGAAATTGTTTATAATATTTAAAACAAGAAGATTTCTTATATGGTTACTTAACTAATAATAACTATAATTTCTAAAATTAATTTTTATCTGTCGAAGAAAAAATTGCAATCAAGAAATTCTTGACAAAATATCCACTAGCTATATTTGGACACTATTTTTTTTAATAAAAATAGTCATTATTGTGGCGTTTTAAATTTCACATGTGAAATTTCCTAATAATATCTTAAAATTCATTTATAAAAATTTAAAATTTCGTGATAATGCGAGTTCAAGAGATTAAAGTGATTATTTATGAATTTTATCTATTATTGAAAAATGACGAAAATTTCTTAGCAAAATTATCAATTGGCTTGTCAAAAGTTTTTCCGATTAACATTCCACTGAAATTTCATATTTTAAATTTTTTAATTAAAAATAAAGAAATTTCAATCGTCCCATTGATATATATGCAAAAAGAAGTTTTTTTTATACAAGACACGTATTAATGTCATAAGAATTTAATTAAGCTAGTTGATTATTACAGCTGTGGCACTAATAATATTTTCCTAATTATAATCACACATTCAACAGCACTGCTCATAATGCTTAATGATACTATTATCCAACTAATTATAAATACTAATAATGTGCTTTTAATGTGTCACTCATGTTTTTGTTTTTGTTTTTTGTTTGAGGCTCTAATTTCCTTGTCCTTTCATTTTTTGTTTTGATCTTTTAGGGTTTTAAATTACTTACTATGTTAATAATATATTTATAGTTGAAAGCAGATTAAAAATTTGAAGATAAATAAGTAATACTAATATATAAATATAAATTAAATAACATAGCTATTTTATAGCTTGTGTATTCGTAAACGAACGATTTAAATATCACTTTACGTACGTTAGGTTGTATATTTATAACTTGTCACCTATACTTTTTAAATCCTTTTTAAATTGTTAGCTAAAATTGAAAAAATGTAATCTAGACCCAAAGATAAATATAAATTTAGATAATATAACTATTTCATAGCTCGTGTATTTCGTGAACCGATGACTTGGGCATCACTTTACGTACGTTAGGTTGAATATTTATAACTTGTCACCTATACTTTTTAAGGTCTTTTTAAATTATCAGCTAAAATCGAAAATGATGTAGCCTAGACCCAAACTTGGGTCGCACACCTACGCTCAAGGGCCTTAGGCAGCTATCATCTCGTTATTTCACTTCAAAACGGTATAACACTACGTAAAATTAAGTTTATGATAGAATGATAAGTACTTCTCTTTTAATTACAGATATTGTATTCGTGTCTTGATTATGAAGTTGCTTTATTTTAATGTAAGACGTATTAGCATGGATTTAAAATTAGTTAAGCACAATACCACAAAATGAGCCAGAATTCAAAATTTATGAATTACGGTCTAAGTTAGTCACTAATCTCATAGTCATAGACGCTCCTCTTAGTTATTGTGTTTGTTGTTAAATATATATTCATATTTTTTAAATATAAATATAAAGTATAGGTAAATGTCTTTGTATTTGTCCGAAATGCTCTAATCACACAGTTATTCAATACGAATATCAAATATCGAATTAAAAAATTAAAAATATCAAAAGGCACCAAAAAAAAAAAAGGTAAAGAATGAATAAAGCTTTCTATGGAAGTTAGTTTTATTTATTGGCTTCTTTCTCCATGTGAGAAGATTTGTTATTTTTTAAAACTATAAATTCAATTTATTACAACTCAAATACATGTCAACAAAAAGGGGTGAATTCTAAATGAACACGAATGTGTGAACTAATATATAAATAAAATTAATTTATCAGTGTAATTTTACGAGTGATATTTAGAGAGAGTATTTATTATATGTATAAATTTTATTTTTATTTTTATGAGATTAAAGAGGATGTTTTCAATGAACTTTCGATTTTTTTTTTGAAAAAAAGAAAAGAAGAAGAGTTAATTAATGGTAAAATTATACATCTAAATAGTTATGATTTTTTGAGTTTTATACCTTAACTATGAAAAAAGATTTAATCAATTTTAATTCTAATTTGATTAGATAATTAGCTGTACATTTAAAACAAGCATATGCACTAACCCCACTTAATTCCTACTAATCCATTTTTATGCACTAATTAAGTCATTTTGATCAATTTGTTAAATGAGGTAACATATTGGGTGGCTCTTCTCTAATTTTGAATCTAAATTAATTGGTAATTTACTATCACTCTCTTATAATTTGCAAATAATTCCTAATTAATTAGTGGCTTCTTAAGATTAAACATCTTAAGCTGTTAATTTTTTATTGCAAATATAACAATAATTATTCCAAATAGAATATTGTTCACCAGCTCATATTTATAAATGGAAGTGATAATTATTCAAGTAGAAGTGTTAAATTAATATTGCTACCAAAGTTTAGTCATAATGGTAAATGATATATTTACGGGATAAAGAGGATGTTTTCGATGGACACTCAACTCTAAAAAAAGATTAGATCAAAAATATATTTTAACTATTTTCATTTTACAAGCTTCGTATCTTAATTATCAAAAAAATTTAATTAAGAATAATTTAAATTTGAGTTGTACAGTTAAAACAAGCATATTAGTTATTGAAATGCCATTAATAAATGAACTCGATGAATGTGATCTATGAATTAAATTTGACAAGCATGATTTAGAACTTACAATTTTTATTTTTATTTTTATTATTTAACTTAAAATAAGTATTCAATTTTTTTTAATCCATAAATCATAAACTACTTTAAAATAAATTAATTTAAACATGTTCTTACATGTTATTTTTCTCAAATATATTTACAAGTTGTAATGAAATTTACAAATGAAAACGACAATTCAGTAAGTGGTTTGGTATGACTAAAGTCATATTCTGAAAAATGTTTTAAATTTTTTTAAAATTTAAAATATTTTTTAAAAATTTTTTAATTTTTTTAAAATAAATTGAAGAGTGGGGGTGGGGGTCGTAGGATTAGGGTATGAGGTGAGGTAAAAAATGAAATTTTAAAAGCTTAAAGTTTTTTATCGAAACATTTTTTTTTTTGTGTGTGTGGGGGGGGGGAGGAGGAAGGGGTAGGGATAGTCGGGATTGGTTGAGGTGAAAAAAAAACTAAAAATTTGAAATATATTTCAAAAATAATTTTTAAAATTTTATTTTTTGTTTGGAGAAGGGGGTGGTTTTGGGGTAGGGGTAGCTTTTATTAAAAAAATTTAAGGATGGGAAGTGTTGGATACAAGGAACAGAATAGGATAAAAGAAATATTGAAATTTAAAAATAAAATATGAATTTAAAAACATTTTGCTTAATTTCTTAGTAGCTAGTGTTCAAAAATCAAGGATTTTATTTAACTAATTTTGAAATTATTTAAACTTTAATTATGATTAATCTTTGATTCAATGTACAATTCACAAAAGACAAGAGTAAATTCTTTGTGTGTGACAATGCATAGTACAAAAAAGTCAAGGGTAAATTCTTTATAGTGATGGATCAAGAAATTACTTCTATATGATTAATCATTTTAAAGTTTTATTTCATTGATGTGATTTAAAGTGGACTTTTGATAGGGAATTTCATTTGAAAGTGACAAATTAAAGAGTATTTTTAAAAAATAAATATTGATCTTAAAAATTCAAGAACTCATTTAATTTATAATTTTCATGTTTGTTTGTAGAATGAAAGTTTCTTCTTTATTCTTTCTTTTTTTTTCATATTATAGCTATTAAGATTATCTTTTAAAAAATTATGAATGTAGTAAATGGTATTTTCTGAAATTGTTTTTTCAAGAAATATGTATAATTCAAGAAGTCTCCATATTTATAGATATTTACTTTTAGGCTCAAATATTTTGATATTTTATTAGATTATGAATTGAAACATATCTATGTGTAAATATATATATATATATATATATTTATATGTGAGAGTATAAACTAGAAATTACTATCAAAAACTACTCTAAATCTTTACTATTTACAAATTTTAACTAGTATGATCTTTGTTTAATATGAACTTTACCCTAAGGTGAACTTGGGCTTAACATAATTTGTTGGAGATTCAAAACATATGGATTATGAAGCCCAGTGGGCTACTTTTGTTGGGCTGCATATAGTCAAAAATATAAGCGGAAATTACTGAAATACACATCTTACGTTTTTCTTATTTTCAATATTACCTTCTATTTCTAAAAAAGTTTCTAAAAGTTCTTATTTCTTTAATGTATCTGAGCCAATATTTAATGTATCTAAGCTATATATTATGTATATGATTTATTTTATAATTATCCGAACTAATTTTTTAATGTAATCAAGCTATATATTATGTATCCGAACTAGTTTTAATGTATTCGAGCTACATATTATGTGTTCAGTTTGTGTTATAATGTATTCGAGATACTCTTTAATATATTCGAGCAACATATTATGTATCCAGTTTATGTTATATAATATATTCGAGATACTCTTTAATATATCCAAGCTACATATTATATATCCGATTTATGTTATTTTTAAGTGATTTTATAAACTAAAGAGTGATAAATTGTAATTTCATATTAAAAATGTGGGATTTATGTAAAATGCAAATATATAATTTTGGAAAAATTAGCTATCTAGTTATAATACTTAGCATAATTAGTCGAAATAACAATACTTTAAATTATTTATTTAAAATGTCAGAATGATAATATTTTCAAAAATAATTTGTATCCATGTTTTATTATTTATATTTCATTTTATTTATTAAAAGAGTCCATCATTGGACCAAACTCTAACCAATAACCTATTAAATATCGATAAACAATTCTTAATTTCTTTACAAATTTTAATCACTAGTTGAACGATGTCCAATATATCTTAGATTACTATTTACATTAATTTACTGGGATACAAAATAATATTTGTATTTTAAAAAAAAAAATTTGAACTAAATAAAACATATAATTTCATCGAGGAACTAATGGGATACGAAAATCTCATATTGTTACTATTAACATTAAACATAATGGATACAAAACATTTTTAAAGAACTAAAAATATTAAACCATACAAAGATTTCACCGATTCAAAATAATTAAGAAAAATAAAAATACCTGATATACGAATATATTATCCAAACAAATAAAATAATCAACAAAAACAAAAATACTTGATGTCAAAATTTCTCGAATTCGATGGAACTGGCGAAATTATAGTCATGAATTTTGAAGACATTTGTTTTATGAATATATCGAAGTCAACTCAAACAAGCTATGAAGACTATCGATTGAATGATTCGGAAGACAAAACTATTTTTTTGCAAAAACTTTCTTGGAATTCTTAAGAATGCAGGGCAAAAAAACGCTCAAAAGATAAAATTGCAACATATACTCTTTCCAAACGTAACTGATTTATATTTAAAATCAATTTTTCCTTTTTTAAATTTTTTTATTCCATGATTTTATCTATTCTGTTATTAATTATTTGTATTCTTTCAAATTAATCAGAATAAAATAAATGCATGACTCATCTTTTAACAAACTAAAATATTGTCATTTTTAATAAATAGTTAAATTATTGCTAAGGAGTGGCTAAAATATTGTTGTTTTAAAAAATTTCCTCGACTCTTGGGCTTATAGGACCTTTGAGGGCAAACCCTTTGTTCTTCCTCTAATTTTTGTTATTCTTTGAATTTTTTATTGATTTCAGGCGGTAGCTTATCTTTCTCAAGAAAGTAACAGAGCTATTGTAAAATTGATTCACCTCAAGGATGCTTTTCTCCCTCTCTATATAAATCTATAAACTGTGAAGTGGTAATTAGGACTAGGTGGTCAAGTAAGAAATCAAAATTAGACGACGTCTGTTGATTGTAAAGTAAAGTCTTCTTTCACTTCAATCTTATCTCCTAACTTCATCTATCTCCCCTTCTAACTAACTACTGACATTTCAGTTATTAATGTAGTGGTGCAGAGGTGGTTACGATAATTTTTAATGAGTAAAAGTCCAGAGTAAGTTAGAAGGCGAGCTAGACGAAGTTAGGAGAATTGTAAAGAAGATTGAAGTTAAGGAGACTTCCTTTTACAGTGGTAACAACAATTTTGAATTCTCATTCTCCTAAAATATCTTATAGATATTCACACTTTACTGGTTATGTGATCGATCGGGCATCTAGTCCTAATTACCACCCCACAGTTTGTGGAATTTTACAGATGGACAAGAGGATACGTAAGGTTACAATAACTCTGAATATTTTCTTGGGACTATTGACTAGAATCAGTAAAAAAAATCAAATAATAACAAGAACAAAGGGGTTCCCCTTAATAGGAACGGATAGACTTGCCCATAGTCACTAATAGAGATACTCACTTTCTCGATGAGTATCAAATACTTAGACATATCCTTCATCGAAGAATTTCAGAAAGGTGTAGGTCAATTACCTAAACAACTAATCAATCCGAGAAAGAAAAAGTCCTCGAATAAGAGGGACATGACGACTAAAAATATCCCGAAACTTAATAGAGGTATTAGGAATTTACCACAAAAAAATCTTGGTGCAGTTGTTAAGGTCATTAAGAAAAGAGGCATACTATATAAGCAGAATAAAGAGAAGCTTCAACTAGACAATAGACAATATTGAAGTGACCAAAATAGGTATTCTTGAACAAGTCTAAGTTGTTTTTCTAAAGTTGAACTAAAAATGTATTACTACGTACTAAAGTTGAATTGAAGATGAGTTACACAAACAATCATTCCTAAACAACAATTAACAAAGAAAAACACATAGAAATAGATTCAAAATACTATAACATACTGGGTCTCTACTTTCCGATATAATGACATTTTTGGGTTATTAATCTGATTTTTGCATCCTTCAATGGATTTTCATGTAACACCCAAAACTAGTAGGTGAAACTAGAGTTGTACGTAAGAGTTTTAGAGTTTGGTGTGTGGGTTAGAATTGTAAAATGGATTATCGTACTTAGAATGAAGGGTTTAGGATTTAAACGTCAAGGTATGATTTCTTAAGAACCAACCAAGGGTCCTTGAGAAGCACCCTAAAAGTTCACCCAAAAATCGCCAAAAAAGACACACCTACGGATGGCACCTATGGCCGATAGGTGGACCCATGCCTCATGGTTGGGTGTCGTGGGTCAAGGGACAAGGTGAGGAGATGCAGGCTATGAACCACAGACCTGCAGCATGTACCGCAGACCCAACCACAGTCCGTGGGGCTGCCCCCTTTCGGCCAATGCTAGGGACTTTTTGGTAACTTCCTTTTTATTTTATTTGATGTGGGGTCATTTTATTGTTTTAATATACTTATATAAGTGTTTTCAATTCATTAACTAATCCTTACACCTCATAAATCCAAAGACCAAAATCCATAACTAATTTTTCCTAAAATCTTCCCTCTAGAATTTCAAGGAAGAAGAAGATGATGAAAGGAGAAGCTAGGATTGAAGAATCTAACTTTTTCTTCCCAAATTCATGGTGAGTCTGAATTAAGGTACGGTAGCTTTTCATCTATGGGTAGCCTTTACCCATAGAGCCCTTCCAAAACCCTTAATTTTAAAACTTGAAAACTAAAAGTTAGGGTTTGACTTCGATCTCATGGATTACTTTCAAATTCTCTTTAATTGATTGAATTATGTTTTTATGGATATATTGATAATTTAAAATTATTTCAAGTTGAATTCCTCAAGAACCCATGTATTTCCCTTATTTTCTCAAAATGAATCTTAAGTGTGTATATTGATTGATGTAAGTTAAATATTACATAATTATGAACGTGATCAATCGATTTACTTGAATTATGTATTAATTTAGGAATTTGTATTGTTTTGATGTTGAATTTCCTCTAAAAACCCATGAACCCTCAAGTCCCCAATTTGTGGCTTTATGGTTGGGTGAATTGTTGTGAGATAAATATTAGGAGATTATATTGTTGTAGTTTATTTATTTGAATCATGTTACCATCCATGTCTAATGTAGTAATTCTAGATATGTTGGTTGAATGTGATCTATAGTTCTTGTAGGGCAAAACATGAGAATTTGCTATGTGAATGAGACTTGTGTGTTCGCAATGAGATTGTTTTAAGAGTAAAGTGAATTAGATTGCTTCGAGAGTAAAGTGAATATACTATGATCTAATTATTGTGTTGATTAAATAATTACACTCATGTACACACTTAGGTATGAATATCATATAACGTGAAAGGTTTGTCACATATAGTGATTCTAAGGTTGGAAAACTAGTTTCACCTATTGAATCTAGGAGATTTAGCATGAGTTTGGTGGATTAAGTGTCAAGACACTCTTCCATAATTATCAATTTAAGTCAATACTTAATATGAACTCAACGGGGATGATGTTTAGCACTGCGTGGATAGTGATATGAGATGGAAGTCCTCAAGATAGTAGAGGCCGAATTTCTAGGAACAATCTCTTGGGATAGAATTTCTCAGTTAGTAGAAACCAGGTTTTCTAGTAGCTCCCCTTATCCCATAAACTAGTGGATCCACCTAAACTAATAGTTTGATCCTACCTTAGGCAAGTAGGATAACCTCTTTTCGTTGTGGCATATACACCAAATTCCATAATTATGCTCTCCTTGTCTATGTCGGTTGAAGTTAATTCCCACAAGGTCAAGTTTAGGATGAACTATAGTTATTCAAGAAGTACTACTTAATGTTGGTGGGAGTATGAGACTTCATCAATATATTACACAAGTAGGCTTTGAGAGTAGTTATGGTAGGTTTCTCTTTTGTCATGATGACTCATGTAATAAATGTGCTTGTGACTAAATGGCAATTGCATTTGATGTTAATACTACTTGTAATGTTGTATGCTATTTGAATTGTTGCCATGAGTTGCTTTTTTTGATATGGTTGATTAAAAGTGAATGTTTCCTTGTCTATGAGAAATAGGCTAAAAATGATATCCAAACAGGGTAAACATGAATGAGGATCTAAAGTGTATGCGTGGGATTACCTTGCGATAAACATGCATTCTCTTATCCTTATTCTACTCACCCGATACTTGTGAAATTCTAAATTAAAATTAGGACTTGTCATTAACTTCGTCAATAAACACGCAATAAATGGCTAAGGAAAGTCACCAGGTTAGGTGGAACGCACACTTCTCTATTGAATTGCGTTTGCGGGATGAAATTTCTTGCCTTATCATCTGTCAGAGTTTCTTTAACAAAAGAGTAAAATGTAGAGGGAGGGCTACAACTTAGGTCTATCATAAGACTATATGTAGGCCACACGATAACAAAAACAAGTAAACAGTAATATAGCCTATAGAAATTCAGCATGCAAAAAGGACTCGCAACAAAAAGGGAGAGTCATTAGGTCAGATTGGCACCTGGGAATTGACATTCACTGAAAGGGTCTGGTGATTCTGAGCATTCCATTATCTTATACCACCTACACCTTGAAGATAAACAAGTACGAAGAATATGAAGAAGAAAAAAGAAAGTCAAGAATGAAGTTAAAAGTGTACCTAAGGTGCTTCTCCCAAAAGACGAAGGACCTTATAAAATCACCAAAAAAGGAGATAATCCTTATCCACAAGAGAACACAACTGAAAATGACAGAAAAGCTGGTGAGGACACAACTGAAAAAATAACATAGATTAGAGGTATGTACTTACTCTATAAGTTGATTGAAGGGATGAAGACCCACGAAGGTGAATGTTGATCACCCAAAAAAGGAGGAAATGGAGTTGGTTGGACCAATAAGTCAACACTCTTAAGGAGAAGAGCAGCAGGAAGACGGAATGGAAAGAGGAGTTTTGCTTTGAAAACCCTACTTTACTAATATATAAAGTCTCAGCTGGTTGTTGGGCTGGGCTTTCTTTTGATAGCATAGGTTTTATTTTATTTATTTTATTGTTATGAGACGTTTCTTTGGGCTGGGCTATGCTTGTGGAGATGTAAGGTTTTGTCATGTTGACTATTACTAAAATCTCAAAAGTTTTTTTAAAAAAAGAAGGAAAAATTAGTAAACTAGTCAAAATAAATAACATATTTAGTAAAAATATTCATACTTTATAAATATTAGCAATAATGTCATTATTTTAAAATATTTATGTGTCCCAATTTTTTTCCTATTTTATCTCTCTTTTTCAATTACTTCTATATATCCTTTTTTTAGAAAAAAAAAAATCATTCTCTCTCATATTTATCTTTTCAAATTGTTAATTCTCTCTCCCATTTAATTTTTTTTCTCTCTCATGGTTATC